TAGTCTTAGCTGTCCTAGAACTAGCTCTGTAGAGTAGGCTGGCTTGGAATTCACAGAGATCCGCTTGCCTCTGCTAATCTAGTGTTGTGATTAAGGGCATGCTCCACCACTGGGCTGTTTTGTTTTTTTTTTGTTTGTTTTTCGAGACAGGGTTTCTCTGTGTAGCTTTGCTCCTTTCCTGGAACTCACTCTGTATCCCAGGCTGGCCTCGAACCCACAGAGATCTGCCTGCCTCTGCCTCCCGAGTGCTGGGAATTAAAGGTGTGCGCCACCACCGCCTGCTGTTGTTTTCTTTATGTCTCATAATTATCCCTGGCTGGCCTGGAATTCAGAGGTCCGCCTACCTCTGCTAGTCTTTGCTGTTTCCTATTGGTTCTGCTGGTGTTTTTGTGTGTTTGTTCGTTTTTAGCTGAATATCTTGTGCTTGCTATGCTGAATTGCAGCTCATTGATATTGATTGTAAAATGCTGTTCAAGGTGGTAAGTCTGTGGCTTCAAATCTCTTTGAAGTTTTTAGAGAGAATACCTGGATTTTTACTTGTGATGTTTTGACAGCTTTGTTGGCAGCAGATCTTGTTGCCAGTCACAGGATTTGACTCATTGGTCACTGTTTCTCGTAGTTCTTAGGCCACTGGTGTAATGACCCTGTTTCACTCATTTTGATTGACATCAAACTGTAACAGACAGCTTATTCATTACAGCCTAACACAATAGACCAAGGATGTCTGAGTGGTGAGCTTTGTTTCTGGCCATGCTAGCCTGCTTTCTGTGGGAATATGGAGACAAACTTGGAGTCAAGTCACACAGCTTAGAACAGTAGTTCATCTATTTTCATTTGACTAAGCTTTGGAGAATATGTGACAGGAAGAAAATTGAGGGCATGCCCTGTTGCTTGGTAATCAGAAGCCCCTGTTGGCAGTGACTGCACATGGTGGGGGAATTGTAGTAAGCCCTGCAGAGGAGGGTACTACCAAGGTTAGCTTAGGAAGAGGAAAGCTGCTTGCTCCTCCTCTTTGCTGACTTCTTTCTAAGCTTTTCAATGAGTGACAATTGCTTTATCTTGCAGGAATAGGCCCGTACTCTTGCTGTCATTCTTTGACCTGTTTTTTAGCAGCCTACTGAAAAACTTCTTCAGCCCCTATGCTGCCACTGCCTATAATCCCAGGAGCTTTGAGAACTGGGAGTTACTTTAGCAGAAAGATCAGGAGTTCAAAGCCAGCCTTGGCTACATAGTGAAGTGAGCTTGAGACCAGCCTGGCATAAATGAAACCCTGTCTTCAAAAACCTAACCCAAACAGACAAAAACCCAAACTGAATACAGTTGTATAGGAGTACTTAGAAGTTCTTAACCAATGAAAGGGGGGAAAAAATCAAACTGGGTATGGTGGTATGTATCTGGAGGCAGTTCTAGGCCAGCTCAGGCTTCTTAGATCTTCTTGAAATGGAGTCAGAATAGAATTTGGGACTCTGAAGGTCCACAAAGGTCCACTGCAATTGAAGTCCCTCCTATCTGTGGCTCATACAGTAAAGAATTTTGTGTCATCTCTTCATTTAAGAACTCTCTTCTGCCATTTGAGTTTCCTCTGTGGAGAATTCTCTGTTTAGTTCTATAGCCCATTTCTTAATTGGACTGTTGGGCATTTTGATGTCTAATTTCTTGAGTTCCTTATATATTCTGGATATCAGTCCTCTGTCAGATGTGGGGTTGGTGAAGATCTTTTCCCATTCTGTAGGCTGTCGCTTTGCCTTGTTGACCGTATCCTTTGCTCTACAAAAGCTTCTCAGTTTCAAGAGGTCCCATTGATTGATTGTTCCTCTCAGTGTCTGTGCTACTGGTGTTCTATTTAGGAAGTGATCTCCTATGCCAGTGCGTTCAAGACTACTTCCTACTTTCTCTTCTAGCAGGTTCAGAGTAGCTGGATTTATGTTGAGGTCCTTGATCCACTTGGACTTAAGTTTTGTGCACGGTGATAGATATGGATCTATTTGCAGCCTTCTACATGTTGATATCCAGTTATGCTAGCACCATTTGTTAAAGATGCTTTCTTTTTTCCATTGTGCACTTTTGGCTTCTTTGTCAAAAATTGAAACTCAAATGGCGAAAGACATTTAAGGAATTGCTCAACATCCCTAATCATCAGGGAAATGCAAATCAAAACAACTCTGAGATACAACCTTACACCTGTCAGAATGGCTAAGATCAAAAACAGTGAAGACACCTTATGCTGGAGAGGATATGGAGCTAGGGGAACTCTCCTCCACTGCTGGTGGGAATGCAAGCTTGTACAACCACTTTGGAAATCAATATGGCGCTTTCTTAGAAAATTGGGAATCCATCTCCCCCAAGATCCAGCTATACCACTCTTGGGCATATACCCAAGGAATACTCAACCACACCACAAGAGCACTTGTTCAGCTATGTTCATATCAGCATTGTTTGTAATAGCCAGAACATGGAAACAACCTAGATGCCCTTCAACTGAAGAATGGATAAACAAAATGTGGTACATATACACAATGGAATACTACTCAGCAGAGAAAAACAATGACATCATGAGGTTTGCAGGCAAATGGATGGATCTAGAAAAAATCATCCTGAGTGAGGTAACCCAGACTCAGAAAGACAAACATGATATGTACTCACTCATAGGAGGATACTAGATGTGGAACAAGGATGACTGGGCTGCTACTCACATCACCAGGGAGGCTACCTGGAAAACAGGACCCCAAGAAAGACACAGGGATCGCCCAATGACGGAGAAATGGAAGAGATCTACATGAACAGCCTGGACATGAGTGGGGGTAGTGAAGGGCGAGGGTCGAGGGAAAGAGAGCTTGGGGGAGCGGGAGATCCCAGCTGGATCAACAACAGAGAGGGAGAACAAGGAATAGGAGACCATGGTAAATGAAGACCACATGAGAATAGGAAGAAGCAAAGTGCTAGAGAGGCCCACAGAAATCCACAAAGATACCCCCACAACAGACTGCTGGCAATGGTCGAGAGACAGCCCGAACTGACCTACTCTGGTGATGGGATAACCAAACACCCTAACTGTCGTGCTAGAAACCCCATCCAACTACTGAGGGATCTGGATGCAGAGATCCATGGCTAGGCCCCGGGTGGATCTCTGGGAGTCCAATTAGCGAGAATGAGGAGGGTTTATATGAGCGAGAATTGTTGAGACCAAGGTTGGATAAATCACAGGGACAAATAGCCAAGCGAATGGAAACACATGAACTATGAACCGATGGCTGAGGGGTCACCAACTGGATCAGGCCCTCTGAATGGGTGAGACAGTTGATTGGCTTGATCTGTTTGGGAGGCACCCAGGCAGTGGGACCGGGTACTGTGCTCATTGCATGAGTCGGCTGTTTGAAACCTGGGGCCTATGCAGGATCGCTTGGCTCGGCCTGGGAGGAGGGGACTGGACCTACCTGGACTGAGTCTACCAGGTTGATCTCAGTCCGAGGGGGCGGCTTTGCCTTGGAGGAGGTGGGAATAGGGGGTGGGCTGGGGGGAAGGTGAGGGGGCGGGAGGTGGGAGAACAAGAGAATCCATGGCTGATATGTAGAACTGAATTGTATTGCAAAATAAAAATAAAAAAATTAAAAAAAAAAAAAAAAACTCTCTTCTGTCTCGGGTCTCAGCCCAGGCAGTTGATATGCCCCAAGGCTGTTTACTGTTTAAAGGGCCTTGTAATTTGCTTTTGGGTTTAGCAGTGAGAGCTGAATGTGGCTGTAGGTTATTGCCATCTCCTGAAAGCCCCTTAAACAAGTTTGTGGTGGTATTTTACTTGTACTGAAATGTGATTTTATTTGTATGTTAATAAATAAAGTTGCCTGGGGGTCAGAGCTATTAGAGCCATAGCAAGTGCGTGGGGCGGTGGCGCACACCTTTAAGGACCTGGAGGGCGGTACATACATGCAGTGACGAGGCAGTCACATGGTTGGGTTTACAACCAATGAGAAGGCAGAACAGCTAGAGTATATAAAGACATACACACAGGAAGTAGGCCCCTCTTTCGGAGAGCTCTCTTGGCTGAAGAGGATCGCTGAATCAGGAAGGGTGAGGCTCTTAGCTCTGACCTCTTGGCTTTCTTCTCTGAATCGGCTCTGTGTTTCTTATTTAATAAGACGGTTGGTTACATCTACACAAGTTCATGTTGTAGGTATTTGTTTTTAAAAACTTAGTTAAAAATAGTTGAGTTATGCTGGGTGGTGGTGGCGCACACCTTTAATTCCAGCACTTAGGAGGCAGGGGCAGGCCGATGTCTATGAGTTCGAGACCAGCCTGGCCTACAAAGTGATTTCCAGAACAGCTAGGATTGTTACACAGAGAAACCCTGTCTTGAAAAGTTAAAAAAAAAAAAAGGTTGAGGTATTTATACTAATCTTAGCATAAAAGGGATAGGTCTTAGACTGACACACTAAGTGAAAAGCCCTGGAGAAGTTTAAGGTTGTCCCAAGAGGGCGAGGAGCATTCTGGGTGAGGCCACTTACCTACAGTCTACTGACTTGAGTGATTCCTGAGACTACCCATATCACAGAAGGAGAAAACTGGATTTTGCCAGGTTGTCCTCTAACTTCCACATGTACTCAGTGGCAACCCCCCTACCAATGAACAACAACAACAAAATTGTTCCAAAATGTTGATAGTGATCAGGACAATATAATGGAAATAGTAGGCTAGAAAAATCCTGGCTTACAGTGAGGCATCAGCATTCCCATTCTTAGTGCCGAGGAATTTTCTCCTTGGTCCTCATTACTTTTAAGGTGCATAAGGGCGGAAATGGTCCTGACTCTAGAGACAACAGATTAAAGATTTTTGTAATTGGACTTGTGGAATTTGTTTGAAAATGGGAGTTCATCATCAGTGTTTTCAAATATCCTGAGCGAATGAATACACCAAGACTCAGATGAGCATAGGTGTATCATCTGACAGTATGTCTGTGTTCACTAGAAAGAGTGGCTGAGCTTTTCCTTCTGTGTTTTCTCTCACAGGGGCGGTCTCAGTAACATGCTGTTCCAGTGTTCTTTGCCAGACTCCATAGCCAGTGTTGGCGATGAACCTCGGAAAGTACTCTTGCGATTGTATGGGGCGATTTTAAAGATGGTGAGTTCAGGGGTCTCCTGGGAGAGGGTGGTCCACTGACATTTTCACTCTTTTCTAAGATAGCTGCAAAGAGATCCTAAATGCTATACACATGTACTAAAGATACTTACTGCTTTTATTTTATTTGGGCTGCACACATGGCTTATTGTTTACAGTGTATTACTTGTTATTTTTTAATCTAATATTAATTAGTAAACTAGGACTCTAGAGAAGTCCTAAAATTGGCCTGACTGTGATTCTACATTGAACTTTTCAGCTCAGACTTAGATGATAAATTCTAACATGAGGAAGGCATTTTAGATGAATCAGCAATATTTTATTCTATATGTACATTTTTTCTTTAAAAATTATTTTATGCATAGAGTGTTTGCCTGCATGTATGTGTGTCTGTGCACCATGTGCATGCAGTGCCTGTGGAGGCCAGAAGAGGGCGTCAGAGCTCCTAGGACTGGAGTCTCAAATGGTTGTGAGCTACTGTGTAGGTGCTGGGAGTTTAACTCAGGCCCTCTGCAAGAGCAGCTGCTCTTACTGTAAGTATGTACAATTAGTAACATGCTGTTTGAATTGTTTCAGAGTTTTAGAGAATGTTATAGTTAACAGTTAACTGTGACCTCAGTGCTCGTGGATGGTTGGATTTATTAACACTTCTCTGAGAGTTCTCTAAAGCTTTGATTTGTTAGATTCATAATCTTTGTGGGTTTTTTTTTTTTTTTTTTCGAGACAGGGTTTCTCTGTGTAGCTTTGTGCCTTTCCTGGATTTCGCTCTGTAGCCCAGGCTGGCCTCAAACTCACAAAGATCTGCCTGCCTCTGCCTCCCGAGTGCTGGGAATTAAAGGCGTGCGCCACCACCGCCCGGCTATAATCTTTGTATTTTATTTGTTTTGTTTTTTTGAGGCAGGGTTTCACTCTAGCCCATGATGGCCTGGAACTCACTATATTAGTCCAGACTGGCCTTAGACTTTAGATCCTCCTGTTTCTGCCTCCTGAGTTATTTGATTACAGGCATGTATCCCCAGTTCTACTGGCAAACTAAAGGTTTGTTTTGTTTTGTTTTGTTTTTAAAATCTATTTTTCTGTGTATCGATGCTCTGTATGCATTTATGTCTGTGTACCATGTATGTGCCTGTTTCCCTTGGAGGCCAGGCGTCACATCCCCTGGATCTGGAATTAAGAGAATTTTGTGGGCTTCCATGTAGGTGCTGGGAATCGAACTCTGATCCTCAAGAAGATCACCAGTGCTCTCAACCGCTATGTTGTCTCTATAGCCCCAAACTACCTTTTCTTTCTTCTTCTTTTTCTTATTTTATATTATTATTATTATTTTGTTATTGTTTTTCAAGATGGGGTTTCTCTGTGTAGCCCTGGCTGTCCTGGAACTAACTCTGTAGACCAGGCTGTCCTGGAACTCACAGATATCTGCCTGCCTCTCCCTCCCGAGTGCTGGGATTAAAGGCATGTGCTCCAGACTACCATTTTGTTTTTGTTTTTGTTTTTTTGTTTTTCGAGACAGGGTTTTTCTGTGTGGCTTTGTGCTGTTCCTGGATCTCGCTCTGTAGACCAGGCTGGCCTCGAACTCACAAAGATCCGCCTGCCTCTGCCTCCCGAGTTCTGGGGTTAAAGGCGTGCGCCACCACTGCCCGGCCAAACTACCATTTTAAAGCATAGTTTTGAAATAATTGGTGAATCAATGAATAAGTCTTATTTTTTTCCCCTTTGATTATCAGTCTGATGTTCCATTCTTGATCTTTGTTAGCGTTTTCTATTTCAGCAGTACTTTTTATAAATAAAGTACTTTAATAAATAGCTGCTGAAATCACTTGTCTTAAATCTAATTTGATTATTCAGTCTGCCATTTCTACACACAGCTTAAGTAGCACTTTTTTTTTTAAAACTATTATATGTGTATGGGCATAGTGCCTGCATGTATGTGCACTATGTGTGTGCCTAGTGCCCAAGGAGAGAGACCAAAGAGGGTGGCGGATCCCCTGAAACTCGAGTTACAGGCATGTTGTGAGCTGCCATGTGGGTGCTAGGAGTCAAATCTATGTCCTCTGGAAGAGCAACTAATTCCCTTAACCACTGAGCCATCTCTCTAGCCCTAGTAGAAGCATTTTAAATGCTCACAGTATGTTCTTCCATGTGTTACACTAGAACTTTCATTTTCTTTTTTGAGACAGGATCTCCACGTTGTAGCCCAAGCAGACTGGCCTCAAACTCACAACACTGCTATTGTCTTGGCCTCCTAAAGGCAGGGATTACAGGCTAGAGCGGCCATGCCCAGCCATACTGCCTGCAGTCATGAGAACTATGTAATGCTCTACAACTGTGTTTGATAGTCTATCTAGTACGATAGTCACCACCCAAGTACATGTGAATGTCAGGCACTGCAGCTGTGGCCGATGACCTGACTTTTACATTCTATTCAAATTGATACTGTCCCATGTAGTTGGAGGTTAGTATACTGGATAGCTGAACTCTAGGATGTGCTGGGTACCAAATGAGTGATTTTGCAGAAGTCAGCTGCCACCTTTCCCCCATTAAGACTTCACTGTTAGTTCTTAGTCCAAACCTGGTGACTCAGGCTCAATCCCTGAACCTCCCTCCATGGGGAGAAGTAGAGAAGAACTACTTCTAAGAACTGAAGAGTGTCCTCTGACCTCCATGTGTGCTTTGGCACATAAGCAACAACTTACACACTAAATTGAATGCAAGAAAAAAAATTTAAGTAGCAGACTAGTTAAAGCTATTTAAGGGAGAATTAACTCTTACTGTCTAATAGAGTAGAATGTTTTACACACAGACCATTCGAATTTGGTACATTTATCCAGTTATTTTTTTAAATCAGGAAAATGTTAAATCATCTTCCATTCCTGAAGCCATATCCCCTTATAAGAGGTGGAGACTATCCTTGCCAACCTCTGAGCCGAAAAGTCCATGTGGTTTCTTAGCAGATAAAGAAGCACCTACTGCTCACTCGGCATGGTGGCAGATGCCTTTAATCCCAGCGCTCAGGGTTGGGGGCCTGGTAGAGGCAGGCAGATCTCAGAGTTCGAGGCCAGCCTGGATTACATAGTGAGTTGTTTTAGGATAGCTAGGGCTGTTTGACACAGAGATACCTTGTCTCAGAAAACAAAAACACATACCAAATAATCTCACAAATGATGTAATAGACACTAAACCAATTTTTGATGAAAAAAAGTTATTCATTTTTGTTTCACAGATGGGAACCTTTATTTCCATAAAATTAGCTTAAGTGTAGTTTTTTCATTGAAGTTTAAATGAATCATGAACCTACAGCTTCAGATTACAACTTTTTTTTTTTCCAGGGTGTTGGGGGCGGGGTGTGTGTGTCTCAAACTCTGTAGGGGTCTAGCAGTGGTACTTGCTGCCAGCCTGGAGTTTTGGATATTAATAGCTGTTGGCCATTGGGGATACTATGAGAACATATGAGAGGAATCAAACTCAGGGATGCTGAAAATGGCTGGAGTAGGAGAGTAGAGAGGAGGAGCCTGAGGAACACATAGACAAGAGCCAAGCCCAGAAAAGTGGAGCTTCCACCGTGCCAGGCTATATATACCTCGGATTTTAATTCCTTGCAGACATTTCAACAATTACAATTTTTTTTGTTGTTGTTTTGTTATTTTTGATTCTGGAGCTTTCAGATTACAACTTTTTGGAATGAGTTGAGCTATCATTGAAGGAAATACTTAAGGTCCACAGTGAGGGCTTTGTTGTTACCACAATAACAACATTGCCAAAATTCATAGTAAATTGTCAGGATTTGCATTTATACATGTAGCTGAGAAAATAGGAGTGTCATTACTTTAGTAAATAATAAATCCCATTGCATTAGTAAACCTCTTTACTAAAGGACAATTTTAATAACAATAGGATTCAGATTTTTCTGTTTTTATCTCTATCTCAGGGAAACCAACATCTTTTGTGTGTTTGCCCAGACATAAATAAGGTGCCTCCCCAGCCAGCTTTGTACATGCCATGGTAACCTTTAAGGGTTCACACCCTATTCCTTCCTCGAAGACTAGTGCACATGATAGACTTAATATTTTTCAGAAATTTTTTGATGTTTTGCTTAATTGTAGGACTGATATAATTTAGTATATTCTTTCCCTTTCCCTATTCTTGTTTTAAACATTTTGAGCTTCTTCCCTCTGAGAATCAGATACTAAGTGGAAATATTTCTTAAGCTCCTTCTTTGATCAGTAACTGTTTGAAAAATGCTTTGGTTTAAAATAACTAGCTGCTTCTTAGCTTTTTCATTTCTCCTGATGTTTGAGATTCTAATGTCCTTTATTTCTGTAGTGGCAGTGAAGTGGCTGCTCTTTGGTGCAGATCTAAGGGTTAGGACCAGAAAGCCAAGGTAACACCTTCTGACTGGGTTAAGGCCCACAGTATCCCCCTCAAAACATCTCTCTTCTTATTCCCCTCATTCTTTATTAGACGAATCATAAGCAGACTTCCCAACGGTGTCCTGCAGGTTCTGTTTAGGATCTGTGTGAGTTTTAGGGGCTTATGTAAAAGTCCCATGTTTAAGAAGGGTGAGAATATTTGCTTTTGAAAATAGAAGCACAAGATGAGACAAGGTGCATACTGTACAGTATTTGTAGGAAATTGTCAAACACGAACATACTGGGCTGTTCTTCCCACGGCAGCACAATGGAGCGGCTTCTACATAGCCTCGCCTCCATTTAAACGAGAGGCTGTTTTAGCAGTTGGACAGGGGATGAAAACGAAGCTCAAGTATAAAATCACTGTGAACTAAAGGTGTTTAACAGAACATTTGAAAAGTAAATGGTTCAGCCTTTCCCACTTTGGATGGCGGTATAAGTAGTAGAAGAGAGTTTATGGACATCCGAAGCCAGCTCTCAGGGTAACTTGGGGTTTTTCCTTTCTGGTACTGGGGAGGAACGTGAGCTCTGCAGCATCCTTTAGCAGAGAAGCAAGTGTAACAGTTGGTTTATTTATCATAACTTGTGGAAGAC